TACACTTAAAGGTTTTGGGAATCACTGACCTTCGAATCATCTCCGAATAGTTGAATATGATTCACGGTTGTCAAGTATAAAATTTGCACCTGAGTTCTTGGTCTTCTTCCGGATAACAATGAAGCGTCTGTGAAGATCTGTCTGCAGTCAATCAGCATTCATTCAACAGGATTGTTTACTATTTTCGAGGTCGCCGGAGTGGGCAAGTGAATTGCTCTAGACAAAAACGACTGCAAGCAATTGAAGCAAACTAAATGGACTTTGGAGGATGATTGAATCGGTGTGGTGAGCTAAAACATCGCGCAGCGAAGAAACGGAACATGTTAGGTCGCTGAGAACAGTCAGTTTCGCCCTTCTTGAAGATCATCAAGTAGGTATATTCCATGATTTCAACGAGCCCCAAGTTCCACTTGAACACCAAATTGTACACAGTTAATGAGATACATTCGGTCGATGTCAGCGTGAGGGTCAACTGGATCTCAGCTAAACCTCTCGCCTAACGATAGTATCTCCTAATGACTGTGGTGCACAAAGGACAGTCCACGTTTCATCTGGTGTGATCTTCGATCTATCGAAATATATTTTCGTGACGGAACACAGGAAACCGTCAGTGGGCGGTCCAGAAGTCTTCAGTGTCCTTACGAGTAGTGTTCCATCTGCGATCTGTCGAGTGTCGTGTCAACTTGAAAATGAGGCAGCTTCTGTGCAGACTGCCATGAAAAGAGAGGTTCATCTGAAATTCAGCTGAATCTCCATTACCGTAACTTTCAACTGTGTGTATTAGTGTTCTCTTTTGTTAACAACAACAAAGCGAAACCAGTAGTTTGCCACATTCCGATACCGGCCTCTCGGTTTGACACCCCATATTTCAGCCGGGTAGCGGTGTGGTGTGGCCAGCGTGTAAAAAAAACCACACTGCCAGTGGCACACCCTTATCTCTGGGTTAGACCAGCGGGTGCGCCACAGACAACTGACCTTCAACGTAACAACCGCGTCTCAGTCTCGGGTAATGCATCATCGATTGATTGGTTCCTTCAGCTTTTCCCATGTCACTACAACGTCAAAAGTAACTGAGTCTGTGTTAGCCCACGCGATAGGCATGGGCTCATACAATCCACATTCCAACTGGTTTTCACGCGGAACTTCGATGAGAGAGAGAGAGTTTAGTTTATGATCGCGCAATTCATAAAGAATTAACTAGAGGAATTTTATCAGCGCAGTATTCATAATACGCACAACCTCTTTAGATTGAACTGCTCTACCATGTGTCCAGTAATATGGAAGCGTCTGTTCATTGTGCCAGCAGCAGAATAGTTACGTGGCATTATTACAGATGAAACATTCGTCCACATATATTTTGGCTCCCCGTGGACTCCCAAGGTAGTTTTTGATTCCTTACAGGAATCAAAGTACTCATCGCAGGCTGCTGCTAAGCAGTCTAATCACCCTGCTGCTTCGCTGTTTTGCTCCGACTGGTGACTTATACGATAAACAATTAATTGCATGATTATATCTGTCACCCATCACTACGTGCTCTAGATACATCTATCTGTTCAGCACTGTTTATGTTTGTTGCCATTGTGGATGAGTCTCCTTTTTAGGGAGAAGTTGGTCTTGTCCGAACTGGAATGTGTGTTAGGACAGATCTCAGACCTGACCACCAGCGACGTTCACTCCACTCAAAATTCACTCCAAATTGTTCTGCCAAGGACGTGTTCAGAGTCCTTTAACTCTGCGGGTTATTCCCTATTGATCGGCATCTGTTTTTACTCGACCTAGGTGCGGTCAGGGCACACTCAAGGTGTGTTAGTGTGCGGTATGGCACACAATTGGAGTTGTGACGTTTTGCAGCACGGCATGGGCTTGCCTGTTCGTCTGAAGGCACCCTACGGAACTTTTCCGTACTCTGCTCCCTCTTTATGTTGTTGTTTGATCCCCAAGTCTATTTAATACGCTAACCCATTACTTGGGTTGTAACCCACAGAATGTCGGCCACAGCCCTCTGAGTCGCCACCGTCTACCACTCCTGACAAATCACACTTGCTGTTTGCTACAGTTCCGTCAGTTGAGTTAGTAATTGTGAATGTGCGGCCCAAGGCTACAAGAGATGATAAAAATATTGGTAATAATCCTATAGTTCATCCGTAAAGCACTTACGCTACCTAGGTGCCATGCCACTCGAAGGAAGCGCGGCCCTGGCCCAGATACTCCCAGGTTGCCATAGCCTAAACAGGAACACCCGAGACGCCTGGCTTGGGTTCGAACCATGAAGCTTATAGTCGAGTCGGTCCGCGCTTTAACTACTGAGACTCAAAGCCCAAATACAGCTGTTCCTACTGAACTGATTTTTAAGTTCGGGCCTGTGCGAAGCCGAAGGGAAATGAGAATTATTGAATGGAATCGTAAAGGAATCACGTGAGTTACAAGTAAGACGGTGAAATCAACTGCGTTCTCCTGCGGATCGGCCAGCACAAATGACTCCGGAAAGTGAGTACAATGTGTGCAGGAGAAAAACATTCCACAAGTTCCACGAACATTCCGTTGAGAAGTTACAACTTGGAATTCTCATCTCTTGACCTACTAAATCCCCTCCCACACTGTAACACGCCAGTTACTCTCAGTCATCTAAGTTCCACGTGTCATGCGAGTTTCCCGCATTGTAGAACAAGGGCCAAGTATTCATAGTTGCATCGCGATTCCGGTTCATCCTCACGGTAACACTGGACTCATTTGGCTGGACACAATAGTGATTTCGTGAACGAACTTTCAACCAAAAATGGCCACGAAATATAGACTAGAAGACACAGTGGGGGTATCCGGGGTTTTTCGAACTCAAAGACCTGTTTTACACTACCAGTTAACCCCATTGCAGGGGTTTCAGGAGCAGGTTTCTTAGGGATTGGTGAGACGGAATCTTTGTTTTGTATTAAGTGTTCAATATTATTGCTTAGCTTGAATCACGCAAACCAGTGCGGCCTGATGAATCCACACGCTCGTCCTCACGAACTGTCCTCTAGATCTGGATGTAACACACTACTTATAGGGTCGGTGAAAACCCTTTGACAACCTACGACCGGATCTGTTGTCCTTGGAACTCATCAAGTGTGCACTGGCCGCGAATTTCTGTCTACTATAGGTTCCACTTCAAGCTGAATTCGAAATAATTCAACAAACACTCATCCACACACTCATTCTCATTGAATTTTGACAGGGTAATCAACTAAATCCATCCAAATCCCTCGTTTATAAAAGGTCTTCTTCAACTGAATGTGTTTCAGCAGGCCGTTTCATCTTTCGGTTGGTACGATTTTCGAGATATCGCTTACCTAGGCTTGGGACACTACTCTTAAGGTTGTGAAAGGGTTTCCGACAACCCAGGACCGGTGCAGCACAGTCAGTTGAAGGGTACCATCAGTTGAGTTTTCTATGAAAATGAAATTATATCCCCTCTGGTTCATTACAGAGTAGCATCCTAATATATTTGGGTAACATTCATTACATAATCACGCAGAGATAGTCTTGTATGGAACACGATAGTCATCCTGTTCTTCAACTTCACCGTGTTCGGTTGGTGATGCAACTGCAGACAGCATTCTGCGCGCTTACTTGCTTGGTTAACATTTTGCTGGATTTCAGCAGAGCTCACTCCAGTTGGCTTTCTGGTTCTCCTTATGACATGACGGGTCTGCGGTAGATGACATTTCCGGTGGAGCAAAGAAAACAGTTGGGGAAAACCGGAAATGTTAATCTTCTTGGTTCCCGTGGTTCGCAGTTGACAGAAAACCTTGTTTCTAACATTGCCCTCTTGGTGCAGTCGTTTCTTCTCAGGGGCGTTTTTTTAATAATTTTACCTGAATGGTAATCATTGTGAATATGGTGATGGGATTTGGTACGGCATGATCGTACGCATTGAGTTATGTAGAACACATCCTTCTGGATCAATCGATTTTCGGTTTATACTTTGACCGCACTTTACTGAGCAACAGCACGCGACCGTATGATTTCCAAAGATCATCCAGGAGCTGGACGTAGCAAGCTACTCACAGGGTTGCCCATGAGTCGCTAACAGCCCAAGACCAGACTCGCCCTTCTTGAGGCCTATGAGGTGGACAAAGTCCTCGGGTTCCAGTTAACTCTATATCATACTTGAAGATGGCCTTCATAAAGGAGAGACTAAGCTGGATTCAGTGGAGTCTTGAATCAAAACCAAATTATTATGCAGATGAGAGTATTCAGCACTGTTCCAGAACCTTTTCACAGTTAAAATCCACCAAATGTTGACCGATCGACTGAACTCCGTAACCGGAAACAGTGCACAGATCACCTGTAGGTTGCGGGTTCCGTTCTGACAAGGTTATTCTCACCAGCCTAGGCCAGAGGTGAAAATAAACGACTTCATTTTTTCGCTGTAGTCAGATTTCTTTAGCAATGAGTCGAAAATCTGGCGCCATCATCGACTAAACTACCTCGATGTTCACCACTGATGCTTCCCTGCAGTGGATAAGACATGCAACAGGGGTGTACTAGTACCACGCATCAGGCAAACAAGTCGCATCAGATAAAATTCAAAGATGTTCAGCTCTTGGCGCATGACGAGTAACATACATCCAGGATGGGCTACCAGCGGGAAAGGAATTTAGAGTGGCCAAGAAGATAAACCACTGTCAAGACATTATAAGACCGTAATTCCAGTACAATGTTCCTACGTTTGGTGTGACCAGGATAACCTTTCGATCGAGAATGATCTGGATGTAAACTCTACAAACCTCGAGACTAGTCACAACTAATCATTTCGAAAGAATAACTTTTATACATAATTTGTAAGTTTGTGTTTTCCGTTTACCTTGCAACACAGGAATATTCGCTGTTTGAAGTTTGATCAAAGTCTTTCATTTGATTGAGTTCATTTCGCACGCACTCTTTTGATCAGAATGAAGTAGCGTGTGAGAATTTTATAAAAACAAATACAATAATACATTAATTTTTTGGTTCCTCTTCAGGGAGGACCCAGACAAAATTTATGGCGGGAGAACATACCTATACTCACGTAAATAAGTCTATCGGCCCGGCTAACATGAAGCAGAATAACAGAAACTGAAGGGTCTTAAGATAATTTCTCTAAAAAGATTTTGTTCATGATAGGGAATCAGCATACGGGTGGACACTGAATGGAGCTGTTTTTCGACAAAGTGGTTTGAAATTTTACCGGGTTCAAATTTCACTCACGAATAATAACAAAATACACGTGCGATGTTAAAATTCTTCACTAGTTCATGTTGGCGAGTTGAAGGGGTAAAAAACTCCGTGTTGTTCCTTTTCTCGCCGTAAGATTTTGGGAGTCGACACTCAACTCTCACCAACATTCTATGGAACCGTAATGTGTTTTCATCATTGTCGTCAGACGTAAACCACGCAGTGATCCTGGTAATTGATCAGTTGGCGGTTGATCTGTTCGCCCAGCTTGGCACCTAGTTTCCAGCCGTTTTTCAACAATCGAGGGGACATCATCAGTGAACCATTGGCTGGGTAGTCCTTCCTTAATTACCAAACCAACCGCATTTGCCATATGATTCAGTTCATTCGCTATTCGGTTTCGTGTACAGCTCCTGTTCAGTAGGGTACCTTCAAGACACGATGTGTGCCCATTACGTCAACACAGCAGGAGGAATCAGTACAATACTTGTTTCAGCCTGCACCATCCAGCCAGACTGTTTGACTGCCACAAGAAGTTGAGTACGGTAATTAATTGAGTGGATCTGGTTGAAAGATTGGTTCATTTCCGTTTCTTAGGCAAGTGGTTCATCATACGACCTTCCCGCTTTTTGGCATGATGGGGATATCAGTTACCTGCAATTCAATAAGAGTGACCCTGGTGATATTTGGAACTTTGTGTCTTGGTAACTGCTAGTGTCTTGGATTTGTTTGATGCATGTAAGAAGGTTTCTTCTGTTCAGCTGTAATACAAAGCCGGACAAAATAAAGTCCGAAAAGAGAAATGCCTCTTTTTCTTCTCCAAAATAAAACTCTTAAATCAGAAGAGAACCTTTTCCCACACAAGCAAACCCTAAAGTATTGATTTTGCCAGGCCAAGAGAATCTTCAAACAACTCAAATGAGCTTGTTCGGGTGGGAATGACGGCTCGTAACTCACTCACTACCATGCTTATGGTCAAGGTATGGGCGAGGCAAAACAGCCTGCCCATACACTGTCACGTCTTTGGTCTTCTGGAATGAAAAACGGCTCACACTTCACTCCAAAACCACCATTCGTCCCATTGTCACTATAAATTTGATGTCGATAAAACAGGGTGGGGTGCTTTGGTTTAGGGAGTTTTGTGTAACAGACCTGCAGAGACTGGTACATGCAGAAAGTAGACAGGTATGATGTTGTGTAGGCCACTTATTAAGACCAGTGGAACTGATGTTCCAGGTGGGAATCTGCCCAGAATCTAACATACCCTTGCTAGCACTGAAAATTGCTTCCATTGTGAATAACCGGACCATGAGGAGAGTAGATCATATTCCTCGTGCTATAAACCCAGGGATTGTAACGCTAAGCGCTTCAAAATGTCACTCATCCAGCAGAATTTTAGTTTCCTTTTTAAGGCAGCACATTGCACATAACCCTCGAATAGGAAGCTTCAGGTGACAAGTCGAGGATAACAGAGGCGATGACTCCTCGTGCTGAACGAGAACCTTGGTAAAGACGTGTCAGTAGATCTAAAGTGTTGGTTGTAAAGAAGCAGTTACCTAGAGGAAGCCACAATGAGCTGGTCCCTAACTGATCCATTCATCGATTGTCGTTTGTGTACAAAAGTGCTGAGTAAGACGAGTGACCGACTGGTCATAAACCGCCATAATTGTAAGCCGTGGGAATACAAAAAATCTTAGAAAAGTTCAAGCTATTAGTCCGAATTACATATGGCATGAAGTTGCTAACAGGAAGGTTCGCGGTCTCTTCATCTCGACTTCCTCTGTCTAGACTTGGGCAGCCTGGCAGTGTCCTAGCCCTCATGCTTCCTTCGGGTGTCATGACAGCTATTCACCGAAAGGGTGTCACAGCTGAATTATTGTCCCGTCATTCTTACACATGGGTAGCATATGAATCTTGTTCGGCAACCCCAGGACTCTCAACGGATCGACTGTGTTTAGACAGGCAAAACCCATGTCATCTACTGACATGAGTTCGCGCATACCACCGTTCTGTCCAAAATTTCGCCCGCATCCAATATCCACAGGGATATCTACTTGTTCAAATACCATTTATAATCAACTCTGATATCAACTCTGGTAACTGAAAAAATCAACCGCTTTCAACACCAGTCACTAAAAATTCCATGCTACGAAATAAATGCTTCTAAACTACTACATTTAGTCGCATTCTTGGGCTATTTCTGTCGGGCATGCTGTGGAATAGACTTTACGTACACTACAAACACCTCAGTAAAGAGACATCCGTTTATTGAGAAACTCATCATGCTAGTCCAGAGTACATTTATCTCGACAAATCATACAAGGAGAAATCACAAATTATCAAATGTCACACAACACAGCTGATTTACCGGAACGAATCCTGGTCGGATGTACACTGGGACAATGTTTCCAAAGAGGGATAACAGTGAGCATACTTTTGGAGAAAGTTCGTTGCACAAACTTGAAACACGTTTTAAAACGATTGACAGTATTGTACAGCACAGTGCATCTTCTAAAACTAGGCTCATTGATACGGGTGAACTGGCCTGCTCTTTGAGTTATTGGCCTCTATAAACTGCACACCGTTGAATAAACCCAGTTGACTGCTCCTATGTAACGGATGCCTGATGAGTAGAGTAACCTATTCAAGGAAGCCGCAATGTTAGCTCTCCAACAAAGACATGTACCGTTGTACACTGCGTAAGCCTTTTGTTTTAACCTGAGCAACAAACGATCCACATCGATGGCCAGAAAGTCAATCGCATTTATTTTGACCAGTCCATCCGAACGACTGCAAATGTACAGAAGATTGTTCCCAGGACAGATAAACCCAAGATCTCCGGGGAAATTAACGGCAGCTTGGCTGACGTGAAGATTGTGCGAGAGATGACCAGTCTCACCATTCATCGTCTTGCAGCTTGTGACATTCCAACGAGGACATGTACTGCTGTACACCACGTAAGTCTTTTGTTTTAACCTGAGCAACAAACGATCCACATCGATGGCCAGAAAGTCAATCGCATTTATTTTGACCAGTCCATCCGAACGACTGCAAATGTACAGAAGATTGTTCCCAGGACAGATAAACCCAAGATCTCCGGGGAAATTAACGGCAGCTTGGCTGACGTGAAGATTGTGCGAGAGATGACCAGTCTCACCATTCATCGTCTTGCAGCTTGTGACATCCATCCGGTTGTTTGCTGATTCGACTACTCGCGAAGTTGGCAGCCCAGTGATAGCAGCTTATCCGACACGGCCCTTCTCACATCTCTCTCATGTCGTTCATACCCAAGACGTTTCCAATCTGTGGGATATAATCCGCCTCCGATTACGGAAAGATTGTAGGTTTCACCGTTTTGAATTGCATGGGTGACGGTCGGCTTATCCGGTTGGACACCATTCGCACAAGCATGACCGCATTTCTCACACTCGTCTAGACAGTCCTCACAACTGTGGACAATATACACGGCAGTATTGCTTGCGGGCTTACCAACGGTCACAAATGGAGGGTTCTCCACAATAAGTTCGTCTGTCTCCAAAAAATGTTCAAACTTCTCACGAAAAATATTTCACTTCAGATTAGGTTCTGAGAGGTTGAACATGTGAGGGAGGGAGGTCTATCAACCTTTCCCTGTTAAATGTGACCATGTCGGTTATAGCTGAACTAAGGAGCCGCATGTTCCGTTATGTTTTTCATCTGGCAATAATAAATGATCTGTGGCTATTTGCTTTCTGACTATTGCAACAAAAATTGGTGATAGGTGGAAAAAGGCTGTAAAGACGTATGGAAGAAAAAACCATGTAAATTACAATAGCGCGGCTGGTTTTCCGTAAATGACTGAGTCCCCCTTAACCCGTCAGTTCAATAGAACCACTTGACAGAAATTATTCGCCTTTGAAATCGGCAGCTCTCAAATCGGTCCCAGTGACTGAGGAATACCAACGTGCAGCAGGATGAAAACCGCGACTGAAGCATTGAGGCGGGGCAAATATCTAGTCGTGAGGTTCACCTGGCAAGCACCGCATGCGTTTTACGTCCACGCGTCCACCAAAACGTTTGGCGCTCTTCTGCTGGTCTCTCGGTGGTGGTCCACAGAGGCCCTGATTGTGCTAGCGAACTGTGTGTCTCCGACATTCGTATCCTAGTTCGATTGATTCGCCAGTTCCGTATTACCAGATCGACTACAGTACCAATGCAACTCAGTTTGGATAGAACGATTGTAGCTCAACATGGAACACTGTAGTCGTCAGCGACGATAAGCTTAACGCTCATCCAACTGAAGAGTTTCTCCAGAGCGAGCATCCCATCGCGTCCGACCGATCGACTCTACGCGGTCACCGAGGTGGTCGGTGATTTGTCCGCTGCAGTCTTCCGCAATCGTAACGAGGCACACATGGCAACAAAGCAACTGGATTCTGCCAAGTGAGACAGACGGATTGATTGTGGAAAATCTTTCATTTGTGACCGTTGGTAAGCCCGCAAGCAATACTGCCGTGTATATTGTCCACAGTTGTGAGGACTGTCTAGACGAGTGTGAGAAATGCGGTCATGCTTGTGCGAATGGTGTCCAACCGGATAAGCCGACCGTCACCCATGCAATTCAAAACGGTGAAACCTACAATCTTTCCGTAATCGGAGGCGGATTATATCCCACAGATTGGAAACGTCTTGGGTATGAACGACATGAGAGAGATGTGAGAAGGGCCGTGTCGGATAAGCTGCTATCACTGGGCTGCCAACTTCGCGAGTAGTCGAATCAGCAAACAACCGGATGGATGTCACAAGCTGCAAGACGATGAATGGTGAGACTGGTCTAGTTGCTCAGGTTAAACCAAAAGACTTACGTGGTGTACAGCAGTACATGTCCTCGTTGGAGAGAGGCATCCGTGAATCTGTTACTCTACCCATCAGGCATCCGCTACCTGACAGTGGTCTACATGTTTACTTGCTCATTCCGTTTGGACACTCACTGAACTAGCCGAAAGTTCACGCCAGAAACTCAGCAAATCTTGGGCTTCTCTCTCCCATTCGTTTCCCACATCAGTGAAAGGGGTCACGTGATGATATCAGAGTCGTTTGATTAGATGATAGTTTTCCGGAATCTTCTGAATGGCCAATTGTTCCCTGTACTATGTATTCCCAGGAAGATTTTTACACAAAATCGATCCGCGTTGGTTTCAAATCACAACCTGGCTTGTGATTTGTTTTCGTCCGGTTGTCCAATTCACCCGGAAAATTGTTAAAAGGAAATCGAACGGAAACTATCGAGTGGTGTTCAGCTAAGCAAAAACGCCAATGGGAATTTTGGTACCAGTTATGTCAGATACGCTTCAGACATACCGAAACCCGCATTGAACCATCCAGAGTTTCATCGAACCGACTACCAACCAGGCAAACACCACCGTGTCTTAATGGAGAAGCTCATCGTTCAAAGGCTTCCAATAGCGAAGGAATATTTCCATAGAATTTCGTTACTCAGTATACACCATCCGAAATTTACCAGCAGACGCAATTAAAATCGTAGCTGAACTAATCGTCAGACGTGTTCATGAACGGTGTCATCGGCAGCATAAGTTGGTGTCTCCGTCATGGTATGGACATTTTATCACATCTCCTACCGTAACACAATTATGTCAACCAATCAAGTACAACCGCCAAAAGATTTATTCATTATCTCACCTAAGATCACCTGATCGCATCTCAGAATTTTTTCCCTCTAACACATCCTCGGTTTGAAAGTATCAATTGGATTGGGGTGAAAAAGCGAAACACATTTTTAGTAGGGTGGACTTCAGTCGGAAACGCTGAAAAACGGACATACAAATCGATTTCTAAGAATACACCCCACGAAATGTCATGACAGAACTAATGTTTTCACGATATAGCTCCTGTCAGTAAGACGGATAACAATTTTCGGTTGGCAGTTGCCGAAACCGGTCAGATAACAGGTTCATCAGTGTACCAGATATCACGATGGAGATAGTGATCCGGTTGCCGTGCGATGTCCCGCACGCCAAGGGACAGTTTGTAGAAGGCTGCTATCTTCCAACTTATGTGAATCGGACAACTGAGGTTGACGTGGTGCGTTGCTCCTGAGAGTATCCTCGATTAACTGAGTGACTCTGCAACTTTGATGGACTGGTTCTATTCCGGTTTGACTGGCAGTTATCAGGAATGGGAAACATGATTTGAAAGCCCACAACAGCTTACAGCCGATAACGCGTAACAATTTCATTGGGTCTCTTGTCCATAACCAGTCAACTACGATCGCACGAATTAATCGATAAAACAGATGAATCAATGAAACAACGTACAAGCTAGATGGGTCGATAGACCTTGCAAATCTGTCGGCTCAATGACTGGTATTACAGCATAGGCTAAGATGGACGACTGACAACAGGAACAGCCGATGTTGGAATGCTCATTTGAAGATTATTCACAAGTGGAATTTGTAAATTTGTTCCCGGATGAACAGGATGACTCTTCAAACGGGAGTAATGTGGAGGTGAATAACAAAGATGTCGGTTTTATCTTATCCTTCTAGTTGAAGAAATCATTCGTGATATGTACCTTCCGCGTGAATCTTTCATCAGTTGTTCTTTTACCGCATAGCGATCCTCCGAGGAGGTATTCATACCTAGTTGGGTAGAATTCACTCCACAAGTTGACATAAATTTATCCACCGGTCCCTCTAGCCATGTATGTATTAATTCGAGACGACCCGACACTTCACGCAAGCACCGGTGAGAAACCGGTCGTAGGATGATAACGTCACACGTAGTTCATTAGTTTCCTTGCTGTCATATTCTTCAAGCTGTTGCCCGCTGTACGCAGTACTTCCTGAAATTCGAAGTTAGGTAGGTCGGTCGAAGTGTTCTATAACACAGCACCTGGACTGTACTTCGATTCAGCTTGGGTAACATTTTGGTGGGAAGCAAGTTACCTGGCAATGAAGTAAATTATCAGCGTAGCAACGATAGATTATCCTGGTAGGAGAATAAAGGAATATGGTCTGTTTCGTTTGCCCGAACAGGGTTTTCCCGATGAAATGACAGACTAGTGACCGTGCGGGGACGACGTCGGTGGCCGAACCAAGTGAGCAAATAGAGCTGCTTTGGACGGGGTACCTTGTGATCACGAAGGTGAATAGGGCCAGCAAACTAATCGAAATGTACTTCAATTGACACCAGGTTCTTTCATGAGATGAGTGAACAAAAATGCAGAAGGCGAACTTGTCTTCTCTGCACTGATCTATTTGTGGTCAGAAGTCTACCGCTTTATGCTACATGGTAGGGGAGACAAGATATTCTTCTAAACTCTGTCCGCGTCTACACAGCAGTCGCTTAGGAAATGCGAGACCTAAATGAACATCAGTTCGATTCCTCGTTTGTAATAACCTGCAACGAAATGTGCCGCATAGAAGCCGCCTCATACTTCAATTTGCACGATATTGAAGATATCGAGGTACTTTTTTCCACATGACACTTCCCACTAGATCAAACAACTCACTCGTGGTTTCGTCCGATTTGGAGGTCTTTGCATAAAAATTCACTTCCGAGTTTCCACGCGTGAGGTCGGGCAGCACATTTGAGAGAGGAGCATGTCGGACGAAACATTTAGTTGGGCCTCCAGATGACTGAAAATCAGTGAACATCTACGCTTAGTCTAAACGGTGGTTCGGAAGGAAAATAATTATGACGGATTTCGGTGAATAAAGCAACCTGCTGAGCTTTACAGAGGGCGATTGTCGTCCATGAAGGGATTTTCAGGTAACTGCACTCAAGTACATATAAATTTGGTGTTGAAAGTGGTTGCATTCGAGACCCGGCTGAACTCCCCGTTTATGGTATTCTCCAATAATTTTTCTCCCTGTCCCGGTTGGCACGATACCAGACATATTGTGGTGGGTTATTATACAGGAAACTGCTGTCAACATCGCTAAAATCTCCTTGATGGCGCAGATAGACGGAGTACCCGAGTTTACGTCAACCTCAGGTTTTAATTGAACCCACATTGCACGGAATTCGACAAATACACTCACATACATACGAAGGGAATAAACTGAATTCAAGCTAAATCTCTTGTCTACGGTATCTCTTAGCTGAACATGGCTCACCAGACCGCCCCATGTCTCGGTCTGTACGGCATTCGAGACACACCTATTGCACTACCCGCAGTGTAGTTGGTGTTTCCTTACGGTTTCGCACTTATGGGGCGACTCAGGTGAGTACAGTCCCTCACCTTCAGTCCACTTCAGGTTTTAATTGTTCACGAAATTTGAAAATATTATAATTATCCAACTGCGTACAATACAGAGACTCGGAGTACGCGCCTACGTGATGAGCCCCTAGAAGTGTGAAGCCGTCCGTGAATCAGCAAACCGTTTTCAGAGGACTTGTTCATGGTTCGCTCCAGGAAAGTGTTTTACACCACTAAATACCAATAGCAACGGATGGCCTTCCAATATTTCTACCAAAGGCAGTGAATATTGATGACCGGAAAACGGTGTTGAACTAACCTGTTGGAAGTGCCCGTGATTAGCTCGTGCATCCTTCGAGAACACGAATCAGTATTATGTTGAAACCGTATCCAGTTTCGGAGTTGTCATTGGATGGAAGTGAAAGTAGGAGTGGAAATAATTTTATTTCAGCGGCTTCAAAACGAACAATCTGGGTGATATGTTTGGAAGGAGGTTCAGGGGCAAACCGTATCCAGTTTCCGAGTTGTCGGAAATTGGAAGTGAAAGTAGGAGTGGAAATAATTTTATTTCAGCGGCTTCAAAACGAACAATCTGGGTGATATGTTTGGAAGGAGCACAGTTCAGGGGCGCTCAGAAGCTCTTGGTCCCAACCCTCCCCGTGTGAAGATTCGTTGCCGCAGACTGCAGAGCCCTGGAGCAGGCTGACAGTGATCCTCCCACAAATTCAATCCAGAGAGGACTACCTGGTTTCCTATGAACAAATAAACAAAAATTCGGTTTCATGTTAAATTATATCCTGGTCGCCCATTTCCAAAGTAACCCAATTTGCACTTACGCAAGCATGGAGTGTCAAACAGTCTATATCCGACTTCCACAGCAACCAGGATACTAGCAACATGACCGGACTAGACGGAAGCATACATCGATCTGAAGCAATGAAGTGGATCTGAAGTGGACTGAGAGGCGCATACACGAGTGCGCGAGGAGACCGTGCGAATGCTCGTCAGTTGCGACGATTACGCAGTTGGAAAACACATCAAAATTCGACTATTGTTTGTGAGTGTGGCTATTCCAGCTGGTCGACAGGTAGCTACATGAGCGATCAGCATCCAACAACGTGACTAACCAAACCATCCAGATTCTTCATTTGGACCTCAGCGGCTAGGTGTGTGAATTCCTCTGATAGGAAGCTCCCATCAATGAGTTTGGCTTGCATTGGACGCCATAAGACCTCCTGTGTGCTACATTCATAAGCCACTACTCCCCAGTGAGTCATTTCACAATGTGGCTCGGTTGACACATTATACCTAATTATGTCTTCAAATTTTGTTCATCCTTAGCTGGTTCCCCACTGAAGTCACACTGACGAACAGAGACTGATGCGAACTGAAACAAACTGAATACGACGAAGGGTTAGACATTTCACCGATTTCACCTTCTCAGATTTCACAACCGGATTCACCCCATTCGGTAGAACAAGAAAATCAGTCCGAGCGAAAACAACCAGCTCCGGTTTCATCAGAATGAATTTGTCAAAACTGGCGAGAATGTCGGAGTAGCTCGGTGTGGACAAATTACGAAATTCCCACGATGTATCATTCGATTTATTCCCCGAGTGACGCCACAAATGGATTCGATTTGCTTTTGCCTGACATTCGTAATTCGTTCACACACATCCCAAAGTGGTGGCGTTCAGTTAGGTATTGTCAATGCTTTTAGCTTGATGCAGAACGAGTGAAACTGGCGTAATCAGACTTTTGTCGCGTTGCATGCCGCCGGATGTAAATTATAGTTAGTCCGCCGGCGATTCTTCCGTATGACAGAGCCGGTCCCATCGAGTGAGCAGGCCTTTTAATGTGCAAAAATATCCCAGTAACATTCAGAATGCAAAATTCAGGAAGCTCACGTGAACGTTTGATGGCAGAGACGGAAAAACCTAGGGGCTAGTTGACAGCCAGTATCACAAAGGCAGGATCATTTAATTGCTATAAGATTATTTGAAGCGGCCAGAAGGAATTTAGGTCCCGTTTCACGGGACAAAATCAGCCTGTGTTTGAAATTCGAGATGTGATTGAACTTGGAAGAGTAACCTACTAAAAGCTTTGTCCAGACTCGAGCTCCAGAAAACTCACTGGCCAGAACGTACTCAGTCGTGGGTTTGTGGTTCAAAACAAACCTGGTTATCTCACTCGCTCCTGTCTGGGGTTACGCAACCATACGGTACATCAGCCCTCGTGCTTCTTGACATGGCCACTAGAAACCGAAAGCCTGAACGATTCATCCACACTCACGATTATCAGATGAGTGTAAAAATGTTCAATCGAAGAGTTTCAATCTCCAAACCAAGCATCCAGCATGTGCTTGCTGAATATAACATTGTCCGGATCCACGTCCGATAAATTAGAAGCATTAGCAGTCCGACTTACTCAGCCTTGAGATACAAAGTTTGAAGTCAACCTTCAAATGACAGATCAGTCGGGTCCACGCGCAAAGGAACATTTAACCATACGTCTCTCCTAACTGCAATTGAAGCGACTTCCCGCCGACTGCTCCGTGTGTTCCCGGACGTCGATGAGGATCCTAGAAAGTCAAGAACAATTATCTGTCCTCTCATAGGGGATCGGCTTCCTCATGAACTCGACACGGAGCAACCCAACTGAAACATACGCACGGGTAAAGGCAACAGCCGTCTCCTGGCGAAATTCAGACTGGCGCATTTGACTCTGAACATGAGAAAATCTCTTTCGATATGTTGGTTTGATTAGTCGAATCAAGAAGGTCCTGATGATAGATCAGTGCTCACAGAGTCAACCATTCTGTTCCATAATTCCTCCTTGTAATGTCCCGAATCCACCGACTGGTCACCCTCATTTTAACTTGGAAGATAATATAGGAGTCACGTGGTTGGTCGCGGATAGTCAGACACATTAACCAAACCAGACAATCCAGTCGGTTGTGCATTCAGATTGTGCGATTACACTAAATGACACATGGAATTAGATGGAAATTCGAACGGCGACTGGTTTAAAAGTTTTCGGGTACAGTGAATGAGGCAAAATCGGATCGATTGCGTGACACGTCAGCAAACAGCTGGTGTTGATGACCTGAACACTGCACCACTGTCACTGCATCACCGTCAGACAGTGTGTGAAAACTGACGGTGTTTACGCATGTCCCAGATCGTTTGCGAAATTCATGGGGAACGTGGATTTCGTTCAGCCATACGGATCATATTTGCACCGCTGGCGAAACATGGCGAGGACAACATTACGGCACCAGCTGTCAGTCGTACCTCACTCGTTTCGGTCGAAATGATTTGCCGTTTTCCGGAAGCGGTGAGTAAGCAGTAGATGGTGAAACAGGAGTAGATTGTTTGTGGTGTGAGATCTGTGGATTTCGCTGGAGATTTCTTTCTGAAATTTGAGCCAATCTATGTTGAGAAACCAATGAGCACTGTACAGCTCTTTCACCCCCATTGGGGTTGATCAGCAGTGCACATCTGACGAAAATCCAAGGAGACTCGAATCAGCGATCCCGGGATGTCACTTATTGCTTCATGGTAATGTGAAGGAATCATGAGTTTGAAACTCTCGTCGGCGACAGCCGGAAGTAACAATAGATCACCACTGGCAAAAAACACTAATTTGCACACCAATACGATCGAATAGCTTCCAGCAACCTTTTGAGTAGTGTATTAAGGAGCATCACGTTGATTGCGGGTATCAGTGGCAGGGTAATAATTTTCTTCAGATTGATTGGATTATCAGCATGAAACTACATCCACCTATTGGATGTTATGTAGAGGAAATCAAATAAAACTGGCTTTGATATTTAATCGCTTCCCATATGGCCTACTTATTTCACCATTTAATATGGAATGTGTGTTACCCACATGTGAATTGCCGTTTCGTATAACTAGGTAGCTTAACAATGACTGTATCTGAAAATCCACCTAACAGGAGCTGAAACATTCATCGCACCATCATCATCATAATTGGCAGCATGACATCAGTGTTTAACACCGACGCCTCACTGTCGTAGAAACATTCACTGGCCTGGCGCATTAGTCCAACTGAATTACTACCTTGCAGGTTTACGAGCAGTTTCGTCTCTATTGGGACTTGTAGGCAAAGCACATCTCGTGAAAGTCCAGTAGGGAGTCTCGAACAAACGACTTCCAAGCTAGTAGCTTGAATACATAACCTCTCGTCTATGAGCCTAAAAGACTTGTTTGGTGGTACCTTCATATTGAGTCCCGGCCCGCCTCTTGATAGTCTGGATACACATTCTAGATTTAAGGTCATAGAAAAGGGGAACACAGTTGGGGGTATGCAAAATCATAAGGTGGGACTTTTGCGCGACATTTGTGGCAGATTACGGAGAGAGTTGCGGAATCCGTTCACCTGGTACTTGTTTAAAAGAACCGTCCATATTGTGTTTCTCCTCGACCCTCGACTGGAAGTGTACAACTTGCCACACCTAGGTAACCTTTCGGTAGACCGAGCTTGAAATTATTTGCCACGGTATCTTCGTTTATTTGTTGACGCCTGTCGGTACGAAGATCAGGCTACGATGGATTTTCCCATACGAAGACGGTCAGTTATTTTCGCCCACTGATTCACTCTGCGGCTACCAAACTTACCGACTGCGGGGAGTATTTTTCTCACTATGATCTGACATGTTTCTCAGCGATTTGGACGCAAAGAGTGGATGGTAGATACTTGAGATAATCCACCAACTAGAGAATTCTATATTTCCTGGAAAATTCTGGTGCATAGGGCACCACGTGTATTCTTCGTCAGGATAGGATGTGTAGTTGGTACACGCTGTGAAGTCCCCTCACAGTGTACACTATGCCTAATACATTTAACATGCAGTTAGTAACATCCCCGGCTTCCATAGCACAAGTCAGTGTACGTTGGTTACCTCTTTAGAGTGGCTGCTTCTGACCAGCCTGAATGCTAATCGCTGTAGAGCGAAGGGTTATACTACTGACAAAACTACTGTATGAATTTTCGCACCAGTCCCAACACTCCTCCTGACCTTCGACAATTCGCTGTCTGCTGCATCCAGTAGATCCGCATTCCGAACTATTCGGAAAATGATAATGTATCTGGTCCAATGGAAGTTTGAAACAGTGGTGACTTCCTAATAACTTTGCGGATTTAGTCCATAGTACGAAAGGCTGAATTTGCTGCTTGACATTTCCCCTTCGGGGCACTGCTAACAAATGAACGTCCAGAAATATATGGTGACCATTTGAGGGAGAATAATCCAAATTAATGGACAAACTTGTCAACCGATTGCTGTTTACCCATTAATTACGAGCATGGCATTTTGGAAAAGGCCACACCTGGTAAAGCCATGTCCCAAAGAGGGTTGTTCAGGATAATTCAAGGTTATGGTTCTGACTCGTTATACATGTAAACAATGAAACGATAACACTTTTTTCACTAAAACTTCAGTGACTGCAATTCATAAACTGTTGCCCACAATTAGCACTGATTCTGGGGGTACTGATGCAATAACATTGTTAGGAGAAGGGTTAAAATCTAAGGTCATTACGCCCACTTTGTTGGCATACTACTAATAAGGTTGCTGAGAACTCCCCCAACAACTCACTGTCGGTTCTGAAGGTAGACCTAGTCCCCGAGTGTTCACTAACGCTGTGATCCATGTGTTCATTAACTTCTACATTGCTAGCGAAATACAAGAAATAAACAAGACATCTAGCTTTTGAGTGTGAATCCATTCAAGGGGCGATAAAGTGTTCAGCTACTACCTCGAAGGGCGTTGGCTCGCGTTGGCTTTATAAAGTGTACGCTGGTTATAATTCTCAGAAATGATAAAAAATTCGCATCATGCTTCTCCAGTTTCATTGCAAAATAAACTTTCGGTAGGAATTTGTGATATTCTGAATTTTTGTTATGGGCAACTTCAACCTGAGAAACAACTTGAAGGGAACATATTTACGATCGGACACATTTGGGTCGTGGGTCCTCCATTTCAGCGAAATCTCCAAATGAGTGTACAGGTAGCCCTCTGTCTAGTCGTCACAAAAAGTCACTTCGCCTTATTGATATTGCCTTCCGTCATATCACCATGCAATAAACTCACTGCTGCGCGAATCCGGTACCCGCGTGATGGCGCGTGCTGAAAAATTGGTTTTATTATCGCAGTCCGGAAACCCCGGTTGAGTATGGTTCTCGGTCGAGCGCCGTTTACCTTTTGCCTTAATATGAGTACTTCCAAAGAGTGTCTTTTATGAGCTTGTGCCAAGGATTTAACGTCAAACACCGGGCATTCGGCTAAATGTATGTGAAGCAGTATGCTGCATGAATTTACGCTGCCTCGACAGAATTCTAATCAGGGACCTGATAACTGATGAGTAAATAAACGCATGAATCGCAAAACCAGCAGGGCATTCGGTCGCATTGAGAAACGTGTCTGTAGCATGCGGCATCTGCAGTTTGATGCAAAACCAGCTCTATAGTTAGGCAGAAACTCGCAACACGGAATAGCTTGCCCGCGATCAGTTGGACGCCAATGGGAGGAGGTAGTGAGAAGGATGGACGCCCGTAACTACACCAAACCTGCAGTGTCCAAATGAGTTTGAAAACTGCATCTCCCAGTTTAGATCATCGGAGGAATTGGCAGTCAGAAGAATCGAATGAAGAACGGCTATCCAAACAGGCGCGACGCGTTGCAACCCCATGAAACCGTCGAGCCAGTCGGAAAGGGACAGATCCCCTCAAGACAGCTTCGACGACGTCGTGACGTGAACGCATGTGCCATAGTAGGACTGGTCTTGTGGGTCACCAGCGTATTCACCGACCAACCGGTAAATGTGACCACCTGGATTCAGGGAAAATTTGTCCCCTTTCCCAATGACTGCATAGTTGGCGTTGTGATCGTAAGAAGTACCACATCATTAACCGCGGGTTTGGATAAATACCGGTATGTTAGGTATTACCACCTTGCTGGTGTCATTGGGCGGCTCCTATTAACACTTGCTTGGTGGTAGACTGGTCACCTGGTGGCTTGAAACAGATATCTTCACTTTCGCCTACCGATCTCATGCAGTTTGATCTACACAGGCAGCGAAATCTACAGGAATTCACGGCTGATGCTGACACGTCGACAATCAACCGGTACCTGGTCAGCACCCACTATCTTGCCATCATCTTTAGGTAGGCTCATTGCTTGCAGCAGGCTTCTAAACGTTCACACACCGATTTTATTCCTTCAGGTTTACAGGAGAAATATGTGCTTGGGTGCAGCGTCACATTCAGTCCATAGCAAGCCGGGGGTGTCTCTCCCAGCATGCACAAGCGTCCAGTGGTTTGATGATTGCTGTCTGGCGAATCCTATTCCGGCGCTAGCTATTCACTTATATTCAGGCCAATATAGAAGTACCCATGGCCAATAAAACTAGCGCATGCTGTTGTCCTTGCTTTGAGGACCAGCCTCCATATATAGGCCGTGTGTAGAAAAGTGAAACCTTCATCGTAGCGACGATAAGCATCACACTACTAGAGATTCAACACCGTTTCAAACCGCTGAATGTGTCAATTACGTCAGATTTGGGCGAGATAGTACGTCTTCTGCAGAATCAGGTCATTTTCTCCCTTGCGAAAACGCTTTGCCCAAAAGGCGAATTCCAACACAGAATAGTCACTAAAGGAAAAAAATCAGGTTGACTACCATCCAACTACCCTAAACTACATTATACTGTGTTATGCTTTGCTGATGGGATAGTATACGAAAACTTTCCGCTTTAGTGGTTTATGAAAGACTGGAAATTTCAGGGAAACACGCAATACTTAATGAGGCTTCCTGATTTGGGAAAAACACTCACCTAGATTATGGGTGTGTAGGATCGTCACTGCTGTTGTTCAGCGGAATACTGTAGCAACTTTCCAAGAGAATAAATGAGCATGTCCCTTACGGCTGCATCACTACACGCGGTAGTTTAGCCAAAACTTCGATCGCGTCACACGTAACTGATGCCACTCACAAAATCAATCTTAACGAGTCGTCTCACGTGCTCTATTGAGCACCCAACCGCCAGCCAGTATCGACCCGAAAAGTTTGAATATATCTGCACTAGTCGAAATACGCTTGCAAAATCGAGTACTATTTTGTCAAAAACTGTCTGTACTGGCGCTGAATATGCCCTGGTCATGTGACCCAAATCGATGGACCCAGCCGCTCAGCGGCCCTCCAGACCACCTTATGGGTAGCACTGACAATCAACTGTCCGTGTTTTCATGTTTTCAATTTAGCAACAAGTCGTCTTAGATGCCCATTCCATCATCTATCCCCATTTTCACCATTAGATATACACTAACCACGAGAGCCAGAACACATTAAAATTAGTCACCGTTAAAGCGCATATATTCACCATAACCACTTTTGTCGGCTCTCGGAATCCGCCCGAGAGACGAAGGTGCCGTCATACTCCACCTCAAACGGACAACGCTCTGAGTATTTCCTAACCCTTTGAAGGTCATCCGTTCATTCCTCCCACAACAGGATATGAGTGCTTGACTAAGAAACAGACTGACTAATTTTCATCGTTGTAGTCTCAGCAAGACAAGTCCCTGATTGAGACAGTTGTTCACAATTTAATAAATCGCGGGAACGCAGCAAAACGACATGACGACCACCAACCCATCGTTACGCTCCACTACGCTCCCTAACAGCGCACCAACAATGTCACCTCGATTGGTGATGAAACATTTGCAATCGAATTACCCAGATCAGCGAACAAACCAACGACCTTTTACGCTACCTGAGCTACCGACATTCTCCTGTACAACAAACTTCAGAATTTGTTATCGTCCCTTCAAAGGTGGGAATAGCATTCATTTCTGCCGAACACTGTTCAGTGATGACACTCTATTCGATTGCATAAGGCTTAGTAAATAGTCAAATGAAGTCCATAGACGAGTTGTGATCAACCACCGTCTGAAACATGCATGCAGCCTGGAAGAGTAATCAGCAGGTCAGGTACACCTTTGACGGGGTTTGTGTGGAGGAGGCAACCTGCCGGATAACTGAACTGGTCGTTGTTGGAAAATCTAGACCACTCCCTAGCTTGGGTTCGTGTTCGATGGGTCGATTTTTGTGGGTTTTTACTGCCAAAATTGGACGCGCGTTTGAATTCTGGTTTGGAGATCTTCCAGGCGATTGTCTAATTGTTACAATACCAATGAGGGTGCAAAATACACTTCCAACGGACTGTTCAAATGATCCACCATTCCTAGCGTGTACCTGCTAGTGTGCAACAATGTTGGAAGAGTGTACCTAACTTATGTGGTCGAATTGATCAGCCGCTGGTTTTGTACAAGTTTCATACCCGCTACTCTATATCCCGTTCAAACCAGAAGGCGGGAGACTGTGCGTGAGCACAGAGCACATAGTGTGAGCAGAGAATTAGACGTCCGGATACAAATGAATTAGCCCGGACCGAAAGCGAACGGTTTGCACTCTTCTCACACCGCTTGCAACCACCTAATAGCACACAGCAGGTCTAGACTACCTGTACTTTATCGGGCAGACCTCGGGGTTCTTGTCTCACCATTGTTTCGTAAATGTAAACTAAATCAGACAATGCGGGAATGACCTGAAATACTGTCGACCTTTAATGCAATTGCATCGCAACTAAATCAATCCTTTCCAGTCGTACAATACTGAAACCAGGTGATTCAATTAGGTGTTTCGTTGGTGCCATCATAATCCGCAAATGGTTTTTAATGTTTATACAGAATTAGTTGTTGGTTTTTCTGTTTTCCAAGTAACTGTGAATTCCAACTACGTTTACTGATTTACGGTCCCTTACTGATTCTTGAGTATTCCTAAGTATGGGAGAGACTACTTCGGCGAACTTGAACGATTGATTCAGTGTAAGCCAGATGTTGGCGTACTGTTTCTAAGTCGGAATGATAGCTCTTCGGCACGGTTGAGACAACTATGCCAAGAATATCGTAAACAGGAAATTCAACTAGGATTCGGTTTAGCACCCCGTCAAAACCAAAATGACATGCAAACATGAGTGTAGTTCGCGAATTCCGTGTAATTCGGGTTCAAGTAGAATATGAGATTGACGATCTTTGCCTACCTGAAGAGCCACAAGAAAGATGAAGCACATAGAAGACTGTCAAAGAGTTCTGAGCAACCATATAAATGTTTTCCTTCAGGTCACGTGTTCCGACGACCTTGAGCATCATTTAGAACAAAGTGAACAAGAATTCATGATCTAATCGTTTCATCGCTATACTGTGCAGTCATAATAAAGAGATTTATTTAAATGACAGGTGTGCTTGTTTTGAAAATTTTTTGTTATGTAGATATTAAGTACATAGACCGCATTAGTGCATCACTAAATCCGGACTTGTCGCATACAGCGTTGTCGCTGCATGTAACTTCTTTCCCAAGAACGGATTGACAAGAGGCAATCCATGTGGCTAATTCCCTTCCTAAACGAGAAAATCATTCGTTGTAAACCCTACGGTAGTATGCATTCGTAATAGCGTTAACAACATGGATAGTTCTCAAAACCGTTTCCCTTTTCTTGTACAAGTTTCTGAATGTTTACCTCAAGTCAAACGCTTTCACACTTTCACACTTGTTGTTGATCCATGAAATAAAGGAGCCATCCAGGCAACACCAATAGAGCGGTTGAAGCAAGTAGGTGAGCCAAGTAACCTGTGACATTCTGGCATATTTTAAGCAATAAACTTGGCGGAAATTTGCATACTATCAGTCGAGTGCCGAGGGCAAGCACCATATTGGCAAGTCTTTCATACAAATATGAGGCGAACAGGCATTGCAAATCGCCACAGCTGGAGATGGAAATCTGCCACAAATGTCGCGGAACAATGCACCTCATTATTTCGTACTCCCTTCATTGTGTTTATCCTTTTTTTACGATCTACAATCTGAAATATGTATCATCACCATAATCGACAGCATGACATCAGTGCTCAACACTGACGCTTCGCTGCCGTAAAAATATGTATCTAAATTATAGTGAGAGGATCGGCACTCGATTTGAAGATCTCGTCGAACAGGTAGTTCAAGATGATAGTCGAAAGGTAATGTTCGGGTTACTAGCTGGTAGCCTGTGTTAGAGACACTCCGGCGTTTCGCGAGATGCGCGCTGCTGATCAGTCCCAATGAGGATGAAAGAGCTGTACAGTGCTCATTGGTTTCTCAACATAGATTGGCTCAAATTTCAGAAAGAAATCTCCAGCGAAATCCACAGATCTCACACCACAAACAATCTACTCCTGTTTCACCATCTACTGCTTACTCACCGCTTCAGGAAAACGGCAAATCATTTCGACCGAAACGAGTGAGGTACGACTGACAGCTGGTGCCGTAATGTTGTCCTCGCCATGTTTCGCCAGCGGTGCAAATATGATCCGTATGGCTGAACGAAATCCACGTTCCCCATGAATTTCGCAAACGATCTGGGACATGCGTAAACACCGTCAGTTTTCACACACTGTCTGACGGTGATGCAGTGACAGTGGTGCAGTGTTCAGGTCATCAACACCAGCTGTTTGCTGACGTGTCACGCAATCGATCCGATTTTGCCTCATTCACTGTACCCGAAAACTTTTAAACCAGTCGCCGTTCGAATTTCCATCTAATTCCATGTGTCATTTAGTGTAATCGCACAATCTGAATGCACAACCGACTGGATTGTCTGGTTTGGTTAATGTGTCTGACTATCCGCGACCAACCACGTGACTCCTATATGATCTTCTAAGTTAAAATGAGGGTGACCAGTCGGTGGATTCGGGACATTGCGGGGAGTAATTACGGAACTTGTTCTTGACTTTCTAGGATCCTCATCGACGTCCGGGAACACACGGAGCAGTCGGCGGGAAGTCGCTTCATGTGCAGTTAGGAGAGACGTATGGTTGGTAGCGCATTTCATGTTAAATGTTCCTTTGCGCGTGGACCCGACTGATCTTTCATCTGAAGTTCGACTTCAAACTTTGCATCCCAAGACTGAGTAAGTCGCACTGTCATTGTCCAGACAGAGTTACGTGCAGCAAGGGAACCGGTGAATGCTTGGTTTCGAGATTGAAACCTTTAGATTGGACATTTTTACACTCATCTGATAATCGTGAGTGGGGACGAATCGTTCAGGCTTTCGGTGTCTAGTGGCCATGTCATCCACAAGAAGCAAGAGGGCTGAAGTACCACCCGGTTGAATAAGCCTAGACAGGAGTGAGTGTGATACCCAGATCTGTTTCGAACCACAAACCCACGGCTGATTAATTTCTCGCCAGTGAGCTGTCTGGAGCTCGAGTCTGGACAAAGCTTTTAGTAGGTTACTCTTCCAAGTCCAGTCACATCTCGAATTTTAAGCACAGGCTGATTTTGTTCCGCGAAAAGAGACTTAAATTCCGTCTGATCACCTGAACTAATCTTCCGCCAATTAAATAATCCTGCCTTTGTGATACTGGCTGTCAACTAGCCCCTAGGTTTTTCCGTCTCTGCCATCAAACGTTCACGTGAGCTTCCTGAATTTTGCATTCTGAATGTTACTGGGATATTTTTGCACATTAAAAGGCCTGCTCACTCGATGGGACCGGCTCTGTCATACGGAAGAATCGCCGGCGGACTAACTATAATTTACATCCGGCGGCATGCAACGCGACAAAAGTCTGATTACGCCAGTTTCACTCGTTCTGCATCAAGATAAACGCACCAGCAATACCTAACGATTACTTTGGGATGTGTGTGAACGAATTACGAATGTCAGGCAAAAGCAAATCGAATCCATTTGTGGCGTCACTCGGGGAATAAATCGAATGATACATCGTGGGAATTTCGTAATTTGTCCACACCGAGCTACTCCGACATTCTCGCCAGTTTTGACAAATTCATTCTGATGAAACCGGAGCTGGTTGTTTTTGCTCGGACTGATTTTCTTGTGAAATCCGAGAAGGTGAAATCGATGAAATGTCTAACCCTTCGTCGTATTCATTTTGCTTCAGTTCGCATCACTCTCCGATCGTCAGTGTGACTTCAGTGGGGAACCAGCTAAGGATGAACAAAATTTGAAGACATAATTAGGTATAATGTGTCAACCGAGCCACATTGTGAAATGACTCACTGGGGAGTAGTGGCTTATGAATGTAGCACACAGGAGGTCTTATGGCGTCCAATGCAAGCCAAACTCATTGATGGGAGCTTCATATCAGAGGAATTCACACACCTAGCCGCTGAGGTCCAAATGAAGAATCTGGATGGTTTGGTTAGTCACGTTGTTGGATGCTGATCGCTCATGTAGCTACCTGTCGACCAGCTGGAATAGCCACACTCACAAACAATAGTCGAATTTTGATGTGTTTTCCAACTGCGTAATCGTCGCAACTGACGAGCATTCGCACGGTCTCCTCGCGCACTCGTGTATGCGCCTCTCAGTCCACTTCAGATCCACTTCATTGCTTCAGATCGATGTATGCTTCCGTCTAGTCCGGTCATGTTGCTAGTATCCTGGTTGCTGTGGAAGTCGGATATAGACTGTTTGACACTCCATGCTTGCGTAAGTGCAAATTGGGTTACTTTGGAAATGGGCGACCAGGATATAATTTAACATGAAACCGAATTTTTGTTTATTTGTTCATAGGAAACCAGGTAGTCCTCTCTGGATTGAATTTGTGGGAGGATCACTGTCAGCCTGCTCCAGGGCTCTGCAGTCTGCGGCAACGAATCTTCACACGGGGAGGGTTGGGACCAAGAGCTTCTGAGCGCCCCTGAACTGTGCTCCTTCCAAACATATCACCCAGATTGTTCGTTTTGAAGCCGCTGAAATAAAATTATTTCCACTCCTACTTTCACTTCCAATTTCCGACAACTCGGAAACTGGATACGGTTTCAACATAATACTGATTCGTGTTCTCGAAGGATGCACGAGCTAATCACGGGCACTTCCAACAGGTTAGTTCAACACCGTTTTCCGGTCATCAATATTCACTGCCTTTGGTAGAAATATTGGAAGGCCATCCGTTGCTATTGGTATTTAGTGGTGTAAAACACTTTCCTGGAGCGAACCATGAACAAGTCCTCTGAAAACGGTTTGCTGATTCACGGACGGCTTCACACTTCTAGGGGCTCATCACGTAGGCGCGTACTCCGAGTCTCTGTATTGTACGCAGTTGGATAATTATAATATTTTCAAATTTCGTGAACAATTAAAACCTGAAGTGGACTGAAGGTGAGGGACTGTACTCACCTGAGTCGCCCCATAAGTGCGAAACCGTAAGGAAACACCAACTACACTGCGGGTAGTGCAATAGGTGTGTCTCGAATGCCGTACAGACCGAGACATGGGGCGGTCTGGTGAGCCATGTTCAGCTAAGAGATACCGTAGACAAGAGATTTAGCTTGAATTCAGTTTATTCCCTTCGTATGTATGTGAGTGTATTTGTCGAATTCCGTGCAATGTGGGTTCAATTAAAACCTGAGGCTGACGTAAACTCGGGTACTCCGTCTATCTGCGCCATCAAGGAGATTTTAGCGATGTTGACAGCAGTTTCCTGTATAATAACCCACCACAATATGTCTGGTATCGTGCCAACCGGGACAGGGAGAAAAATTATTGGAGAATACCATAAACGGGGAGTTCAGCCGGGTCTCGAATGCAACCACTTTCAACACCAAATTTATATGTACTTGAGTGCAGTTACCTGAAAATCCCTTCATGGACGACAATCGCCCTCTGTAAAGCTCAGCAGGTTGCTTTATTCACCGAAATCCGTCATAATTATTTTCCTTCCGAACCACCGTTTAGACTAAGCGTAGATGTTCACTGATTTTCAGTCATCTGGAGGCCCAACTAAATGTTTCGTCCGACATGCTCCTCTCTCAAATGTGCTGCCCGACCTCACGCGTGGAAACTCGGAAGTGAATTTTTATGCAAAGACCTCCAAATCGGACGAAACCACGAGTGAGTTGTTGGATCTAGTGGGAAGTGTCATGTGGAAAAATGTACCTCGATATCTTGAATATCGTGCAAATTGAAGTATGAGGCGGCTTCTATGCGGTACATTTCGTTGCAGGTTATTACAAACGAGGAATCGAACTTATGTTCATTTAGGTCTCGCAATTCCTAAGCGACTGCTGTGTAGACGCGGACAGAGTTTAGAAGAATATCTTGTCTCCCCTACCATGTAGCATAAAGCGGTAGACTTCTGACCACAAATAGATCAGTGCAGAGAAGACAAGTTCGCCTTCTGCATTTTTGTTCACTGATCTCATGAAAGAACCTGGTGTCAATTGAAGTACATTTCGATTAGTTTGCTGGCCCTATTCACCTTCGTGATCACAAGGTACCCCGTCCAAAGCAGCTCTATTTGCTCACTTGGTTCGGCCACCGACGTCGTCCCCGCACGGTCACTAGTCTGTCATTTCATCGGGAAAACCCTGTTCGGGCAAACGAAACAGACCATATTCCTTTATTCTCCTACCAGGATAATCTATCGTTGCTACGCTGATAATTTACTTCATTGCCAGGTAACTTGCTTCCCACCAAAATGTTACCCAAGCTGAATCTTAGTGCAGTCCAGGTGCTGTGTTATAGAACACTTCGACCGACCTACCTAACTTCGAATTTCAGGAAGTACTGCGTACAGCGGGCAACAGCTTGAAGAATATGACAGCAAGGAAACTAATGAACTACGTGTGACGTTATCATCCTACGACCGGTTTCTTACCAGTGCTTGTGTGAAGTGTTCCGGTGGTCTCGAATTAGTACATACATGGCTAGAGGGACCGGTGGATAAATTTATGTCCACTTGTGGAGTGAATTCTACCCAACTAGGTATGAATACCTCCTCGGAGGATCGCTATGCGGTAAAAGAACAACTGATGAAAGATTCACGCGGAAGGTACATATCACGAATGATTTCTTCAACTAATAAGATAAGATAAAACCGACATCTTTGTTATTCACCTCCACATTACTCCCGTTTGAAGAGTCATCCTGTTCATCCGGGAACAAATAATTCTACTTCACTTGTGAATAATCTTCAAATGAGCATTCCAACATCGGCTGTTCCTGTTGTCAATCGTCCATCTTAGCCTATGCTGTAATACCAGTCATTGAGCCGACAGATTTGCAAGGTGCATCGACCCATCTAGCTTGTACGTTGTTTCATTGATTCATCTGTTTTATCGATTAATTCGTGCGATCGTAGTTGACTGGTTATGGACAAGAGACCCAATGAAATTGTTACGCGTTATCGGCTGTAAGCTGTTGTGGGCTTTCAAATCATGTTTCCCATTCCTGATAACTGCCAGTCAAACCGGAATAGAACCAGTCCATCAAAGTTGCAGAGTCACTCAGTTAATCGAGGATACTCTCAGGAGCAACGCACCACGTCAACCTCAGTTGTCCGATTCACATAAGTTGGAAGATAGCAGCCTTCTACAAACTGTCCCTTGGCGTGCGGGACATCGCACGGCAACCGGATCACTATCTCCATCGTGANGAACATGTCCTGCAACTGTTTCGAAGCAGGAATGAAGAGACACTGGTGGTACAAATTGCGATAAAGAGTTCCATGGAGATATGAGAAGATGTACGCCGAGCATACCGTTCCACCATCTGTTGACAGTTTTGTAGAGCATTATCGCGCATGATTGTGCACTTACATGATTGTTCCTTAATATCAGCAAAGTTACCCGTACAATATCTGGTACACTGATGAACCTGTTATCTGACCGGTTTCGACAACTGCCAACCGAAAATTGTTATCCGTCTTACTGACAGGAGCTATATCGTGAAAACATTAGTTCTGTCATGACATTTCGTGGGGTGTATTCTTAGAAATCGATTTGTATGTCCGTTTTTCAGCGTTTCCGACTGAAGTCCACCCTACTAAAAATGTGTTTCGCTTTTTCACCCCAATCCAATTGATACTTTCAAACCGAGGATGTGTTAGAGGGAAAAAATGCTGAGATGCGATCAGGTGATC